TGACTTGCCTTTATATCCTCTAGAGTCTGGTCTCCCATTTGGTTAGAACTCACTGTGCGACATCGGTCGGGAGTTAAATGGGATCAAATCTGGGGGAGGTGGGAGAGGAGCAGACAGTATTCTTACACTGCTTTCTGGGGGCTGCCCTGGATGTCCCTAAAAAGACAACTGTTGAAAGGTCTTTTTCCTTCATGCTCAGTGTTGGCTTGCTGCCCTGAAGATGCTGCTACCTCAGATGGCCACTTGGAGCATACGGGAAGTCAGGCGAGCTCTGGCAAGACTTTAGCCATATGAATATATTCCTTCTGATAGTGCCCTCTCTCTCTACCCTAGGAAGAAACTCCTCTAACAGAGAGAGCATCTCCGTGATTCTCCAAGGACATGGGAAGATAGGTGTAAGCCCACGAGCGCTTAATTGGAGGGAAGCTGCTTTCCTGCTGTGAATGATGGCCAAGCCCACTCTGAGAGGGAATGGCGCTAACTCTGAGACCTTCCGACAGCGATTTAGGAGATTCCATTACCAGGAAGTGGCTGGGCCCCGGGAGGCTTTCAGCCAACTCTGGGAACTTTGCTGTCGGTGGCTAAGGCCGGAGGCACGCACCAAGGAACAGATTGTAGAATTGTTGGTGCTAGAGCAGTTCCTGACCGTCTTACCTGGGGAGATCCAGAACTGGGTACAGGAGCAATGTCCAGAAAGTGGAGAGGAGGCAGTGACTCTGGTGGAAGACTTAGAAAGAGAGCCTGGAAGACCTGGACGTTCGGTGAGAAGGGAAGGGGAATTCATAAGTATGCGACTGGGAAGGAGCAAAGGTAGAGGGCCAAATCAAGGTATAGGCAGACTTAAAGAGGGCCAAAATCTCCCTCAGTGATGGGTAAACTTCTGGTGTGGAACAGGTAATTTTTTCAGATAACACTTGTCTGGAATTGCTACTTGGGTGTATTTTTATCTACACTATCATAATGAGTTTTTCCTAGTTTCATAGTATTTTACCAAGAGGAAAGAAAGGGGAAAACTTTTTCAGCTTGTAGTTTGGTTTTACTATTTTGATCGTTTCTTTCTGAGTTCCAACTACACTAAATGGTAATGGAGTAAGACTCTTGTTCATTATAATCCTCCCCCACCCCATAGCCCTATTGATGTCCCAGAAGGATAATCTCTTTTGGGGTATTAAATAATCTCCTCTGGGAATGCCCCTCATTATGACCTTGCAGTGACAATTAATGGGGGTTGTTTTTAGGTCACAGTCTCTGTGAAGGGGCAGGAAGTGCGCTCTGAGAAGATGACACCCTTGAAATCATCACGAGAGTTATTAAGTATTCGGCAGGAGTCAGTGGAACCCCAGCCCAGGGGTGTACCCAAGAAAGAGAGGGCAAGAAGCCCAGACCTGGGACCACAGGAACAGATGAACCCAAAGGAGAAGCTCAAACCTTTTCAAAGGAGCGGTGAGGAGTAGACTCATATGGGAAGACAGAGTGCCATTCTAAATTGGGAAGTAGGGTTGGGAATAGTGAATGGGAAAGAGATTTCAGGAGTAAGTGGAAATTGTAGAATATGTGGTTATTGGGGGGGGCTCACAAATATATGTAGTTTAGTGCTCTGGTACAGTATTTTTATATTTCTTCTTTTAATAATTCTCCTAGGAAATGGCTCCTAAGCTTAATCAGAACTTAGTACTGTTTTATTTCCTCTTGGCATGATGATAGTAGGTAACTATTTTTTAGATAAAAATTACTTTTTTAATTTGAAAGCCTGTTTTCCTTTTTGCTTTCCTTCTCTAAATTAAACTATTTGTTTCTTAATGCTTTCTCCAGAAAGCACTATCCTTTAGACCTAAGTCTTTGTTACTCCTTTAGAGCCCTTATTTTCTCCAAATACCATGTTTGTTGTGGAGAACTAAGTTATAATATTATTCCAGTGGAGGTTGTTAGATAGAGGCTGAGTATCAATTTTACGTTAGAATTCTGTAGTATCATTTTTTGGTATAATTATGGTGATTTTTGTTCACCTGGTAACTCTCAGGACTTAGTGTCCCCCATTGCCTTTGTACCTAGCTGCTTATTTTTCTACTTAATTTTGTAGAACTTGTTTTTCTTCTTTGTATTCTGTTGAACTTCACTTTGTATGTTCTTTCTTTGATCATTTCACTTAAAACTTGTTGAGTTTTTTTTTTTGTTTGTTTGTTTTTTTTGTGGAGAGGTTTTTGCTATAGGGCGCGTGCGCTCACCAGACAGACAGAGACAGACAGAGAGACAGAAAGCGAGAAATCACCCCCCAGGGCAGATGGCCACGCCGCAATCCCTTCTCCTCCATTCTCCTCTCGGGATCTTGGGTACGCACGCACACGCGCCTGGCGTGAGTTTAGGCCACCGAGTCCGGGACTCACCTGGTAACTCTCAGGACTTAGTGTCCCCCATTGCCTTTGTACCTAGCTGCTTATTTTTCTACTTAATTTTGTAGAACTTGTTTTTCTTCTTTGTATTCTGTTGAACTTCACTTTGTATGTTCTTTCTTTGATCATTTCACTTAAAACTTGTTGAGTTTTTTTTTTTGTTTGTTTGTTTTTTTTGTGGAGAGGTTTTTGCTATAGGGCGCGTGCGCTCACCAGACAGACAGAGACAGACAGAGAGACAGAAAGCGAGAAATCACCCCCCAGGGCAGATGGCCACGCCGCAATCCCTTCTCCTCCATTCTCCTCTCGGGATCTTGGGTACGCACGCACACGCGCCTGGCGTGAGTTTAGGCCACCGAGTCCGGGACTCGAACCGTGGTTGACTATGTGGGAGTCCAGCGACATAGCCATTACGCTAACTGCTGGTCCCAAAATTTGTTGTTGTTTTGAAATCTGACCTTATCCAGGATGATAGCCTTCTCAGCCATTTTGGTAATGGTTTGTTTAGTCATCCAGATGAGATTCCCCCCAACCTCACACAGACTGGCAGAGCAGAATTCATCAGTTTTTGAATACCCATTGAATGCTCAACACCTTATAGAGTACTTTGCAATAAGTAAAGGTACCTGTCTCGAAGAGCCTACAGTATGATTGAGAACACAACAGATAGCTATCTATACATATGAGCTGAATTAAACCATGTTGAAACAATACCATACGACAAGTTGTTCAATTGTGGAAGTATAATAGGGGTTTGACAGAGTGGAAGATGAGGGACTGCTGTAGGAAAGGATTTTTAGCAGCACTGGCAAATATAGCTTCTTGAAGGATGGGCTGAATTTGTATAGAAGGGAGATACCAAGGTAGGAGTGCAACAGGCGTGGACAGTGTGCAGTGGGCACTAAGGTTAAAAAAAAATGCAAGGTGAGGAAGCAAGAGCCTGGAGCTGGGTAGAACAGTGACTGCTGCAGTTGTCCAGGTATGAGAAGGTAGGGAGTCTGGACTTGGATGGTGGCAGTCAGAATGGAGAGAAAGGACATACTAAGAGAAGCACTGGTGAAACTCGGTGACTGACTTGAGTGTGAAGCAAACAAGATAAAGACAGTCTCTTCTCCCCTCAGTTCTCTCTTGAAATCACTCTGAATTCTGTAGCCTCAAATGAAGAATAGGAAATAGGGGGGCCAGCAGGTGGCATGGTGGTTAAAAGTGCTGGATTCCCACATGGCTGACTGTGGTTTGAGTCCCAGACCTGGTGGCTTGCTTTCTCGCTTTTCCTGTCTCTCTCTCTGGCTGGTCAAATTAAAAAATAATAACAAATGGAATTAAATAAATAAATAAAAGAATAAAAAACAGGGAGTGACTGTTCCCAGCAATGTTAGGCCTGCCTACAAGTACTTAGAAGGGTGAGGGAGCAACTTAGAATTATCTGCTCTGAACACACAACAGAACCTTTTCCTCTCTTGTAACCTGCTCTGGAAAATAGAATATTTCTCATCTTTTGAGGTTTTTGGTATTTTCCTCTTTCTTCAACTTACTGAACTTTTAGGAAACATTTCCCTAGACACTATGTTATAGTCCTCTTGGATAAAAAAGGCAGGACTGAATTCAGAGATGTTATTTATGATCAGTCCAAACTGTGATGCCCTTTGTTTGCTTCCTTGAAGCAGGATTTCCATTTCCTAAATCCGGTGTGGTCTCCAGGTTGGAGCAAGGAGAGCCATGGATCCCAGATTTGCTGGGCCCCAAGGAGAAAGAACTCCCGAGAGGTAGCTGCACAGGAGATAGACGAGTACATGCTGATCTGTTACTATCCAAGAAAGAGAGAAGAAGCTGGGTGGAACAGGATCAGTGGGGCTTTGAGGATGAGAAAGTGGCAGGTGTACACTGGGGCTATGAAGAGACCAGAACTCTCCTCGCAATTCTCAGCCAGACTGAGTTTTTTGAGGCTCTCCGAAACTGTCATCGAAACAGTCAAGTGTATGGGGCTGTGGCTGAGCGGCTCCGGGAGTATGGCTACCTCCGGACACTCGAACAGTGTAGAACCAAGTTCAAAGGTCTCCAGAAGAGCTATCGGAAAGTCAAGAGTGGCCACCCACCTGAGACCTGTCCCTTCTTTGAAGAAATGGAAGCCCTGATGAGTGCTCGGGTCATTGCCCTGCCTAATAATGGCCAAGAAGAGACAGCTTCTCACTCTGACCTGGTGGGCAGTGATGCTGAGACTGAGGAGCCAGGGCAGAGGGGTTGGCACCATGAGAAAGGCGCAGAAGAGACTATGGCTGAGGAGTCTGACAGTGATGAAATGGATCTGGAAGCCACCCCACAGGACCCTGACAACTTGACTGCACCTGTCCTGTTCCGAAGCCCAAGTGGTAAGCTTTTCTTGGGGTTTTGGGATTAGACTTGGAGAACAATTAAACTGGATGTGGAGTTTGGAGCCTTAGTGTCATCTGCCAGCGTTAGGGAACAAAGAGGCGCTTTTCATTTCTATGTGTATTTTCTCTTTCATGGGAAAAATTAGTCAAATAATAATAGGGAATAAGTTAGATTTTTGAAAGAAATACCTTCAAAAAATTTGAGACCTGAAAAGTATCATCCCTCCGATTTATGTATTTTTTTTCCCTGATTTTAAAATCCCTGTAGGCTGAGAAAAACATGGTGCTATATAAGAAGAGCCAGCATTTATTGTTATCTTATATGAACCTGGTGCTTTACATATTTTATCTTTTACTCCTAAATGTTGGCGTTAGTTTTTTATGTGTTCATTTTTGCTTAGGATAGCCCAGTGAAGGATTGCCCAAAGTTGAAAAAACATTCTATATCTCCTCTTTGAAATTTGCAATATACATTGGAATTTTAACAGGACTGACAAATCTTGCAGCATGAAAGCTGGTTTAACAATCTTTTTTTTTTAAGAATTATTTTTTTAACTTATTATTTTAATTTGACCAGAGAGTGACAGCATGAGAGAGAGAGAGAGAGAGTGAGAAAGCCAGCCACCAGGTCCAGGACTCGAACAGTGGCCATGTGAGAGTCCAACACCCTTAACCACCCACATCACCTGCCGGCCCCAACAATCTTGAAACATTTTTGCCTATGCTTAGATCCTAATCCTAACAACCAATAATGATCTGGTGATCAGCTCGTTATAGATTTTGATTTCTCATTTCCTCATTTCCTCAACTGTAAGATGGGGCAAAGTGGCTGGACTACATGTCTAAAGTTGCAGTTCCATCCTTTTCCTTCCATTTATTATGTGATTTTAGCTTTTGCCTTTTTTCCTTTTCTGTTTTTCTTATTTTCCTTTTTTGTCACTGACATAAGTAAATGTAGGTAAATCACAAATGTGGCATATGTGCTAATTATGCTAGTATTTTCATTATCTTCACTCTTTTCATCTATTTCCACTGCTTTTTCTTTATCTTCTGTTTCTTTCCTGTTCTACTTTACTCATAGTGAGTGGATAATGGAAGAAATATAACCTTCAGTTGACTGTCAGATGGATTCTTTGAACCTTCCCCCTCTTCCTTCTACCTTGGGTACCTTTAGGGAGCATAGGCTTTGATCATCCTGACCTTGCTTTCCTGAAAGTACTGCCCAAGTGGAAAGCCTGTAGCATGTGTTCAACTCAGTTGAATCTGTCTGCTCTTGATTCCTTCCTCATTCTGGCTTCTGCCAGCCCTTTACCCCTATGGATGAGGTGCATGATCAATAGGTCCTTATTTTGTAGGCTTCAGACTTTTCTATTTTGTGGCTTGTTTATTTGAGATTGTGGCAAGTGAAGGGGACTAGGTAGCAGTGTGATTCTGAAAGAGGCAGTACTTTAGGGTTTCAAGTCATTGTTTGGGAAATCCAATTTAAAGGTAGTAGGGTTAATAGTAAAAGAATGATCAGAGGGGGACCAGCAGTTAGCGTAATGGCTATGTCGCTGGACTCCCATGTAGTTGACCACGGTTCGCATCCCGGACCTGGTGGCTTAAAACTTACGCCGGGCACGTGTGCATGGGTGCCCAAGATCCCGAGAGGAGAATGGAGGAGAAGAGATTGCGGCGTGGCCATCCCCTCTGGGGGGGTGATTTCTCGCTTTCTGTCTCTCTGTCTCTCTGTCTGGCGAGCGCATGTGCCCTATAGCAAAAACCTCTCCAAAAAAAAAAAAAAAAAAAAAAAAAAAGATCAGAGAAATTAGGGGATTGTGACTGAGAGCAATTAATTCTGAGTCCTCCCCTGACTTTCCAGTTAGGAACAGAATCCCAGGAAAATGATCAGAAGGATGGGGAAACAGATTTTATACACTTGCCCCAGGTGAAAAGTCCTCCTTTTTTTTTTTTTTTTAGTTTTTTTGCTATAGGGTGCGTACACTGGACAGAGAAACTGAAACACGAAGAAGTCACTCCCCCCACAAGAGGGGATGGCCACACCACAATCCCTTCTCCTCCATTCTCCTCGAGGGATTTTGGGCATGTAGGCACACGTGCCTGGCATGAGTTTTAAGCTGCTAGGTCTGGGACTTGAACAACGGTCAACTACAACAGTGATGTAACCGTTATGCCATTTGCTGGTCTAAGTCCTCTTTTTTTATATGGCTAAACAGAATTCACAAATAAAGATCTCCCTGAAATTGCTAAAGGATACAGAGAAGCAAGATACTCCATGAGTTTGTGTAGATTCTGGAAACAGCATTTTACTTAAGCTTGACCTTAGGTGATATTTCATACTGCAGATGATAGAACTAAGTAATTAAGACTTTAGAGCTTTGGATTAAGTGATATGGAAATTTCTCTTCTGGTGACAGGCGTACACTGGGGTTATGAAGAGACCAAGACTTACCTTGCAATTCTTAGTGAAACTCAGTTTTATGAAGCCCTCCGGAACTGTCATCGCAACAGCCAGTTGTATGGTGCGGTAGCTGAGAGGTTATGGGAACATGGCTACCTTAGGACTCCAGAGCAATGTCGGACCAAGTTTAAAAGCCTTCAAACCAGCTATCGGAAAGTCAAGAATGGCCAAGGACCAGAGACTTGTCCCTTCTTTGAAGAAATGGATGCTTTGGTTAGTGCTCAGGTTGCTGTCCCAGTTGGTGACAGCCAAGAAGAGGAATATTGCCAGGGAAGCAGTGAGGCTGAAGCTGAGAAGCAAGCTGAGGAGGAAGAAGAGGCCATAGAGGAAGATTCTGATGATGATGAAGAGGAGACTGAGATACCCCCAGAAGCTGTCATAACCCGTGCTCCAGTCTTATTCCAGAGCCCCAGCGGTAAGATTCCTTCACTTCTTACAGCATACATAGCAAAGGGGAACAATGGGATTTAGGAGGAAAAATCATCAGATTAAGAACTGGCTCTTGGAGCCAGAAGGTGACGTGGTGATTGGGGTGCTGGTCTCACACCTGAATGTGGTTCGGGTCCTGGACCTGGCAGCTTGCTTTACCCTCTCCCTCTCTATCTGTCCCTCTCTGGTCAGACTGAATAGTGATAAATAAATATTGAAAACAAACAAAAAACAAAAAACTGGACTCTGAGCCAGCCTGTGGCATGGAGGTTAAAGCAGCTAGATTCCACCTGGCTGACCATGTGGTTTGAGTCCCAGACTCAGCAGCATGAGAAACACACCAGGTACATGTGTGTGTATATCAAAAATCCCAGAAGGAGGGGGGGACCACACTCCACTGCAAGAGGGGCTTTCTCTCAGTCTCTCTGGCAAGTGCATCTGCTCCTTTAAAAAAACAAAACAAAACAAAAAAACCTGGCCTGTACCCCCAGCTTTCATAGATTCTTGTAACCACCTTATCTCTTCTGTATGTTTCCTGTTGTAGCAGTTCAGTGAAGAAATACAATTATTCATGTGACTTGCCTCCTAACACTATAGCATCAATCTGAGAGAGGTGGAGACTATAAATTCAATGTCATCTATGTGTGAATTGCCAGGTTTCCAGCTAGTTTACCCAGCAAGGAATCTGAAAGCTAATATTTCCCAAGTACATGTCATGTACCCATAGTAGGATGAAGGTGATTTTAAAAATTCATTCTTGGGACCAGCAGATGGTATAACGGTTACGTTGCTGAACTTCTACATAGTCGACTGGGCAACTTAAACTCACGCCAGTGGTGTGTGTGTGTGTGTGTGTGTGTGTGTGTGTGTACGCCCAAAACCCCAAGAGGAGAATAAAGAAGGGATTGAGGTGTGGTTATTTCCCCTGGGGGGTGATTTCTCACTTTCTGTCTCTGTCTCTATTTCTCTAGCAAGTGCACATACCCTATAGCAAAAATCTCTCTTAAAAAAAAAATCATTCTTATATAGTGTTTAATTCATAGAGTTTTGGCTCGTATTCCAACTATGTGGCTGTTTTATTCACATTCATGAAAACATAATGGTCCCTTTCTTCAGACACACCTTGGCAAAAGTCTGAGGTTTCTGAAAGATCTGCTCCTTTGAATCTTGACTGTTATATAAGAAAAAACAAAAAGGCTTCATTATAGCTTCCTTCTTTGTGGGATTTGGAGTCATATGTGTATATTTATGTGAATCAGGGTTGTTTCTTAGGTGACTTATAACAAGTTATTTAGCCCAAGTTTGCTTAAATATTAAGACCTACCTCCTAGGGTTGATGGAAATGAGGTACTGTGTTGAAGCACCTAGCACAGTACCTAGGCAGTCAGTATTCAGTAAATAATAGTTCTTATATCTAAAAGTCCTTTAGATCAGGACTTTAGATCAGTTCTCTAAGGGTGTTCCATGGAGCATCAATTCCATGAGGTGCTATGTTTACTGAAAAATAGTTTCTAGGTTTGAGAAATGCTAAATATTCCTTCTGGAGGCTTAATAATACCCACATTTTTAAGGTTCAGAGATGTCATTTAATCTAATGAACCCCTATTTCATGGAACATCTTATATAAGTTATAGGATAAGGCCTCTGGGAAGAAATACTGTGTTAGGGGATCAGTATATTATAGGCTGACCCCCAGCATTTTTTTTTTAAGTTTTGCTATAGGGCATATGTGTTTGCCAGAGAGAAAGTGAGAAATCACCCCCCTTGTAGGGATGGCTATGCCACAATCCCTTCTCCTTCATTTTCCTCTCTGGGTTTCAGACAGGCATGCACACACAACTGGCATATGACAAACTGCCAGGTTCAGGACTCAAACTGACCAATCGGCCTTAACCTCCACACCACCTGCTGGCCCCACACAAAGCATTCTTTTGCTCTTAGATTTAGTCTAAAGGGGGGCAGCAGGTGGTTAAGGCGCTGGACTCCCACATGGCTGACCGCAGTTCCAGTCCTGGA